AAGATTCCACGGAAACAAATGAAAGTGAAAACACAATGGTCCAAAATCTTTGGGATGCAGCAAAAATGGTTCTAAGAGGGACATTTACAGCAATACAAGCCTACCTCAAGAACCAAGAAAAATCTCAATTAAAAAACCTAACCTTACACTTACAGGAGCTAGAAAAAGAAGAATAAACAAAACCCAAAACCAGCAAACAGAAAGAAATAATGAAGATTAGAGCAGAAATAAATGATATACAAACTGATAAAACCATAGAACAGATCAATGAAAGCAGGAGCTGGTTCTTTGAAATGATCAACAAAATTGATAGACCTCTAACCAGACTTACCAAGAAAAGAAGAGAGAAGACTCAAATAAAGGAAATCAGAAAGGAAAGAGGAGAAATAACAACTGACACCACAGAAATACAAAGGATTGTTAAGAGAACATTATGGAAAACTATATGCGAACAAATTGGACAAGTCAGAAGAAATGGATAAATTCCTAGAAGCATATAACCTACCAAAACTGAAGCAGGAAGAAAAAGTAAATTTGAACAGACCAACTACCAGCAATGAAACTGATCAGTAACGAAAAAACCCCCAACAAACAAAAAGTCCAGGACCAGAGGGCTTCACAAGCGAATTCTACCAAACATTAAAAGAAGAGTTAATATCTATTCTTCTCAAACTATTCCAAAAGTTAGAAGAGGAAGAAAACTTCCAAATTCATTCTGTGAGGCTAGTATCACCATAATACCCAAACCAGATGAGGACACCACAAAAAAAGAGAACTAGAGGCCAATATCTCTCATAAATATACATGCAAAAATCCTCAACAAAATACTAGCAAACCAAATCCAACAATACATTAAAAAGACCATTTACTATGATTAATTGGGATTTATTCCTGGGATGCAAGCGTCGTTCAATATTTGCAAATCAATCAATGTGATACATCACATGAGTAGGAGAAAGGGTAAGAACCATATGGTCATTTCAATAGATGCAAAAAATGCATTTGACAGAGTACAACATTCATTCATGATAAAAACCCTCAACCAAATAGGTTTAGAAGGAACATACCTTAACATAATAAAGGCCATTTATGAAAAACCCACAGGTAACATCATCCTCAATGGGGACGAACTGAGAGCTTTTCCCCTAAGGTCAATAACAAGACAAGGATGTCCACTCTCACCACTTTTATTCAATATAGTACTGGAAGTCCTAGCTATAGCAATCAGATGACAAAAAGAAATAAAAGGCATCCAAATTGGTAAGGAAGAAATAAAATTTACAGTATTTGCAGATGGCATGATACTCTATATAGAAAACCCTAGGGGTGCCTGGGTTGCTCAGTTGGTTAAGCTACTGCCTTTGGCTCAGGTCATGATCCCAGGGTCCTGGGATCGAACCCCACATATGGCTCCCTGCTCCTCGGGGAGCCTGCTTCTCCCTCTCCCTCTGCCTGCTGCTCCCCCTGCTTGTGCTCTCTCTCTCGATCAAATAAATAAATAAAATCTTAAAAAAAAAAAAAAGAAAACCCTAAAGACTCCACCAAAAAACTACTAGAACCGATAAATGAACTCAGACAAGTTGCAGGACACAAAATCAATGTACAGAAATCTGTTGCACCTTATACACTAATAATGAAGCTACAGGAAATGAAATTAAGAAAATAGTTCCTTTTACAATTTCACCAAGAACAATAAAATATCTATGACTAAACCTAATCAAAAAGGTAAAAGACCTGTACTCTGAAAACCATAAAACACTGATGAAAGAATTTCAAGATGATGCAAAGAAATGGAAAGACATTCCATGCTCATGGTTTAGAAGAACAAATATTGCTAAAATATCTATTTTAACTATCCAAAACAATCTATAGATTTAATGCAATCCCTATCAAAATACCTACAGCATTTTTCATAGTACTAGAACAAACAATCCTAAAATTTGTATGGAACCACAAAAGACCCCAAATAGGCAAGTCAACCTCAAAAAAGAAAAACAAAATGGGAGGTATCACAATTCCAGACTCCAAGTTGTATTACAAAGCTGTAGTGATCAAAACAGTATGGTACTGGCATATAAATAGACACATAGATCAATAGAACAGAATAGAAAACTCAGAAATAAACTTAATTATATGGTCAGTTAATCTTCAACAAAGGAGGAAAGAATATCCAGTGGGAAAAAGACAGTCTCTTTAATAAATGGTACTAGGAAAGCTGGACGGCTACATGCAAAAGAATGGAACTGGATCACTTTCTTACACCATACACAAAAATAAACTCAAAATGGATTGAAGAACTAAATGTGAGACAGGAAACCACCAAAATCCTACAGGAGAACACAGGCAGCAACCTCTTTGACCTAGGCCATAGCAACTTCTCTCTAGATATATCTGCAGAGGCAAGGGAAACAAAAGCAAAAATAAACTATTGTAACTCCATCAAAATAAGAAGCTTCTGCACAGTGAAGGAAACAATCAACAAAGCTAAAAGACAAGCTACTGAATGGGAGAGGATATTTGCAAATGACGTATCTGATAAAGGGTTAGTATAAAAATATATAAAGAACTGATCTAAGTCAAGACCCAAAAAACACATAATCCAATTAAAAAATGGGCAGAAGACATAAACAGACCTTCCTCCAAAGAAGACATACAGATGGCCAACAGACACATGAAAAGATGTTCAACATCACTCATCATCAGGGAAATGCAAGGCAAACCTACGATGAGATAATCACCTCATACCTGTCAGAATGGCTAAAATCAAAAACATAAATAACAAGTGCTGTTGAGATGTAGAGAAAAAGGAACGCTCTTGCACTGTTGGTGGGAATGCAAACTGCTGTAGCTACTGTGGAAAACAGTATGGAGTTTCTTTAAAAAGTTAAAAATAGAAAAAAATACCCTATGATCCAGTATTCACAGTACTGGGTATTTAACCAAAGAATATAAAAATACTAATTCGAAGGGATACATGCATCCTTATGTTATGGCAGCATTATCTACAATAGCCACATATGGAAGCAGTCCAAATGTCCATTGATAGATGAATATATAAAGAAGAGGTGGTATACACATATATATAGCAAGATTTCATATATTTACATATATAGATGGCAAGATTTCATTCTTTTTTATTGCTGAATAATATTCCATTAAACATATACATATGTATAATTTCATTATATATATGCGTATATATATACATATATATACACATATATAATTCCATTATATATATGTGTGTATATATACAATAGAATATTATTTAGCCATAGAAAAGAATGAAATCTTGCCATTTGTGACAACATGGATGGAGCTAGGGAGTATACTGCTAAATGAAATAAGTCAGTCAGAGAAAGAGAAATACCATATGATTTTACTCATATGTGGAATTTAAGAAATAAAACAAAAAGCAAAGGAAAAAAAAAAAGAGAGACAAACCAAGAAAGAGACCCTTAATTATAGAGAACAAACTAATGGTTACCAGAGGGGAGGTTGGTAGGGGGGGGATGGTTGAAATAGGTGATGGGGATTAAAGAGTACACTTATCATGATGAGCACTGAGTAATGTATAAGATGGTTGAATCACTATATTGTACATCCGATTCTAATATAACATTATATGTTAACTATACTGGAATTAAAATAAAAAACTTAGTAGAAAAAGAAAATGCAGACTGTAAGATTGATGTGGGGCTATGATTTTTTTGGTGGGTGTAGTAGAATTATGGTGCATGGGTGATTAAGATATTTAAATGATCAGCAAATAGGGAAGAGCAGACTCAGAGAAAATAGAGACAAGCGCCATGGGTAGAAAGGAAAACTGAAATAATACATAGCTATGACCATAAACTGGAATTTTCTGGAATCAAAGATATATAAGGTGGAACAGTTCCAAAGTTTGGTCCTCAAAATGAGTGGGTAACACAGAGGTGGAGGGAAATGCCACTAGGATTATGGGTATCCAAGAATTTTGAGGCTAAAATTTTAGATGGCACTTATTATGATGCTGAAATCTAGCACTATGGCAGGAATTGGGGAAGAAGAGGAAGTCTGTAAGCTAAATGAATAAATTAGAGCAACCAGGAGATCAATACAGCCAGATGGCATAAGCCTCAAAGGAGAACGAAGTGTCTCATGGGAAGGGAAGAGTAAAATACACAGGATTATTTCCCATATAGCACCAACCCGAAAGTCAAGTGACCAGAGACGTTTTATAGGAGCTTAGTACCATACTGCATTGTGTCGTTGGAGAGTCAAAAATCACTTGGAACTTTATATCCTAGGAGACTAAAATAATAGTGAGCTCATTACAAGAGACAAGGAGGGTAGAAAGATCTGCTTTTCATGGGAGGGGGAAAGGATGGGATGGAGACAAAAGAGGTCAATTTTGCATTTGAACTATCAGTGATAAAGATGTTTTATAGATATTGGGACTAGAATTCTTATAATGTTTATAGAGCTTAGCCCAGCGTTTTGCATAGAGTAGATACCTCAAAATTTAAGTTAATTGTTAGGAACAAAAAATAAAGGTTTCCAGTACTCTCCAAAGAAGGAATAGTTGGATCCATGGAAGCAAATGTATTATGAAGGAGGCAACATTAGCAAACTAACACAGAGTGTAAATACAGACAGACAACAGTATAAGATTAAGTACACAACCATTAAAAGGGCATGAGAAGAAAGGAATACTAACAGAAAAAGCACAGAAGGAATGTTCAGAAAGAAAGCAGAGAGAATCTAAAGGCTACAATATCATGACAATTGAAAAGAGTTTCTAGAAGTAAGAAGTGGTTAAGAGTGCCAAATAACATCATTTATTAAGCATTTGTTCATGATTAAGATTAATAGCAATCTTGAGACCAAAAAGAACCGAGGTCACCCTATACTTTTTGAGGCCTAACAAAACCCATGAGATGAACAATAACACCATCATTTACTGGTCCAAAACAGATCGTTAATATAAAGTTTCTGCTGCTGGGAATAAGAATCCATACCTTGAACCACAACATCTGGCTTTGGTACTGTAGAAAACCTTCGATTCAGGGGATCAATTTCTCCAGGAGCTAAAAATCCCTAAAGAAAAACCATAAAAAGACAGGTTACTATTTCTCAAAGAAAAAGCTAATGTTTGAGGAGAAACAATATACCAGTGTCAAAAACCTGCCCTATAACGTGTGAGAGGCAGGTATGGAAAGGAAAAGAATACCTTCACTATATAAAACATGTTTGAACTCCTGAATTCACATCCAAATTAATTTCATCTGGAATTAATTTCTAGTGATGGCCACAAGTTCTTTGTTGGAAACAGAGGAGGTACAAGTGATAAGCCCAAAGATTTTTTTAGTTACACTTCCACCTGCTCTCTGAATGTATATAATTAGACCATCAGACCACAATGCTTATTATCAATAATTGAAGTCTTGTTTTCTCATTTATTCATGTGACTGCTATACGTCCTGCTCAGCAAATATCTTTTTTAAAAAAGATTTTATTTTTTTGTTTGAGAGAGATGGAGGGGGGAAGGAGGGCAGGGGGAGGAGCAGAGGGAAAGGGAGAGAATTTCCAGCAGACTCTGCACTGAGCACAGAGCCCAACGTAGGGCTCGATCCCAGGACCCTGAGATCATAACCTGAGCTGAAACCAAGAGTCAGATGCTCAACTGACTGAGCCACCCAGATGCCCCAGCAGATATCTTTTGACTTGAATTTCTGTCCTTGATGAAACGGGATGAACTCACCCATTTTACCCTTAAAAATGCCATTCATCTCCTCCTTTTTCACATATTTAATTTCTTTATAGCATTGAATGAGAAAGTCATCAGGTCAGGATTATTTTAAACAGATCTTTCTGCTCATTATTGCTACATTGTTCATAACATCAACTAAAGATAATCAAACCTTTATGCTGTACACCTGAAATTCACATTGATGTATGTCAATTATATCTCAGTAAAACTGAGAAAAAACCCAAAACAGAGTGAACAGAAACAGCTGCAGAAAATAGTCATACATAAACAGGTCAAAGAGTCTGACCCAGAAAGGATAGCTAAGTCCCACCTTGGATCTTCTAGGAGCCTCAGTTATAGCTTACCATAATAACCTATAATGGGGAAGTAGATTTGTCAGTAAATCTGGAAAACTTTGAGAAAGAGAACCCTTACTATAGCTCACAATTTCAAAAAAAGCTGGGCATTAAGGACAAAATTCCCAAGTGCTTCACTGACAGCTGTTTCAACCAAGGGGCGCCTGGGTGGCTCAGTCATTGAGCATCTGACTCTTGATTTCGGCTCAGGTCATGATCTGGGGTCCTGGGATCAAGCCCTGTGTGGGGGCTCCGTGCTTAGCGGGGAATCTGCTTGAGGACTTCTCTCCCTCTCCTTCTGCCCCTCCCCCTGCTTGCATGCTCTCTCTAAAATAAATAAATCTTTTTTTAAAAAGCCAAAAAATGGGACTGTTTCAACCGAATTTAACATAAAAAAACATTTAAAGAGCCCCACAGCAAAAAGAACGCAAACAATAAATTTTTAAAAACAATGATGTTCCCAACCACTTTTCGTGATGCCTAAAATTATCTTATCAGTTTACTCAATTAGATAATGAAACATTATGTTGCTTGAAAAAGTTAGTACTTAAATCCATTATCAGTCATCATTACTATCAAGCACAGGTGCATGCATCAGTCACGAGGCAAGGCACTGGTAGGGGGTTGTTTTTAAAGGGCCAGATTGAGGCCCTGATCCGAGAGCAGCTCCAAGTAGTGTCAAGGTAGGAAGCCCTGGGCAGTATGAGAGACATGGTTGCCAGGGGGAAAAGATTTTTGTCAAGGATTGGCACTGCTCCCACTCTAAGGACCTGACCTGGAGGAAAATATATAATTAAGGCAGAATATAAAAGGCAAAAGACAGATCCAGATTTAATGAGCTACTCACAAATCTCATTATTATAATGACTAAAGGAGAAAAAAAGTGGAAGAGCCTTGAAGTTTCCCCTTACCTCTGCCATCAAACTTCCTAAGATGTACAGAGACTGACCCCACATATGAGGCAACTTCCCCATGGGGACTCGGTCCACAGTGTGAGGATTTTGATATTCTTCATCAACCTAAAAGAAAAGATAAAGAAGCCACACAAAAGGTGATAGAAGGTTAAAGATACTAGACAACAAAAAGGCTGAATGTGGATTGTGACTCATACCCTATAGAACAGTTACATATGCAATGCACTGAAAAGTCCAGCACTATGACTACAGTCTAGGGAAGGGCTCCTCTAAATGTGTGTACATACAAATCACCTAAGGACCTTGTCCAAAGGCAGATTCTGACCGAGTAGGTGTGGAGGAAGGCCTGAGATCTGCATTTCTAACAAGCTCTCAGGTGATGCTGCCGATGCTGCTAGTAGCTTATTCCATCCATCTCCACCAGAATGCAAGACTGCAGCTCTCCCCTGGCTAATGCTCCTTCGTAATGGAGAAGAGGAACAATGGCACTCCCAACTGGCATTGTGGGGAAATGAGGACATACTTCATTTTCCAAGCCTGATCTACTCAAACAATCCCAGATTACTGGCCTCAAAGCAGAGAATACCAAATCCTGAGAGTTTGCACAGAACACCGCTCTAGTTCTGCCTACTGAACTCCGTATCATTCTCAACTTTAAGGTTTGGTCTTTTTAAAAAAATCAATTTCTGAACAATTAATTTTTTTTTAAACATTGAGGTATGGTTGACATATAAAAAGGCCCTACGTATTTAATGTGTGCATCTTGATGAGTCTGAGGGTAAGTAATACGCCCATGAAACTACCATTGTTAACGTTTGGTCTTACTCTTGTCTCACTATGCAATGGCGCAATACCTGAGACTGCTTTAAAAATTTCTTTTCAAAGGCCTAAAATCATATTTTCATCATCTTATACCAAAAGACAAAGTTTTAGAACAGTAAAATCAGAAAATTAAAACTCGTCGGACTCAAAGGAGGCAGTCCCGTTGAAGTCCGGCTCTCCTTCTCCTCCCAGCTCCATGTTATTAAGGCACTGTCCAACTCACCCTGTCTGGAGGAACACTGTACAGCTCTGGCAAGAGTGGGACTCCGTTTTTGCTCTTGATGAGGACTGCTTCAAGAGCCTCTCTATATTCTTCAACCTGTAGATAAAAGAAAGGGAGAAAAAAGTTTATAGAGTTCCCTTTGGGGATCTCAGGGAGGGTTGTAGCCAAAGAAGTTCCTGTTGCAAAGGAGCATGTTCACCTGGTGAAAGGGAGAAGAAAGGAGAGTAGCATTTACTAAATGCTTATTACAGGCCAGATACTATGCTAGAAATTTTGTGTGCTTTAACGCATTTGATTTTTTTAATTTAAATTCAATTAGCCAACATATAATACATCATTTGTTTTTGACATAATGCTCAATGATTCATTAGTTGTGTAGAACACCTTTAATTTTAATAACCATCCTAGGAGGTATATGCAATTAAAGCCTTTTTTTCCTGAAAAAGTAAGGCTCAAAGAGGTTATGAATTTGTGGAAGATCACACAGCAAGTGTAAGGTTGAGCCCAGATTTGAGCCCAAGTCAGCCTGCCTCCGCAGGCCTGTTTTTTGTTTGTTTGTTTGTTTAATATTTTATTTATTTATTTGACAGAGAGAGAGAGAGTGAGAGAGCGCACAAGCAGGGGAAGTGGCAGGCAGAGGGAGAAGCAGACTCCGCGCTGAGCAGGGAGCCTGACGTGGAGCTTGTTCCTGTAACCCCGGGATCATGACCTGAGCCAAAGGCAGTTGCTTAACCGACTGAGCCACCCAGGAGCCCCACAGGCCTGTTTTTATCCACTACTCGAAATACAGCTTCTTGCCTTTACATGTACTGGCTTTAAAAACTGAATTTAACTGCTAAAATAAGTTTCTCTTGTAGTGAAGTTCACATTTTTTGCTTAACAATTTGCTGTAGGTTAGATTAGTAATACATAAAAAGCAAACACCAAAACACAAAAAGGAAAAAAAAACCCACTATAATTTACGGTGGAAAAAACAGTCAGTTCTGCTATCACAGTCGTTTTGAAAGCACACATTTATTCCAATGCGTCTGATGTATGACGGAATGATTTGAGCATCACCCAGATTTGACATGTGTTTATGCACAGTCTTGACCTGAGAGTACACTCAGCTGAATTGAGCCCCTGTAAGAATACCCAAAACATGCACATGGACGTGCCTCAGGATGGCAATGAACCCCACCCATCCACATTCCGTGTTAGAACTTTTTGTCTGAGTTCAGGGAACACTCCTTCTACCGGTTCATAATCACTCCTGAGCTGCTGCCTGACTCTGTGTGCCTTCCCTTCTCTTTCATTTCTTCCCCTTTCTCCTCAGTTTATTTTGTATTCGTCCTGTCTGCTCTATGTTCTTTTTCTCCTTCCCCTCACTCTTTTGCCATCTTTCTTGTTCCCTTCCTCTGGCACACAGGGTGGCGGGCATGGGAGCCCGTCAGGTGAGCTGGCAGGACCGAGGGTGCACATACCCACGAGCAAACCTAAGGTCTTTTTAAAGCTACAAGTGCCATATTTATTGTGGTATTTATGTACTTCTTAACCATCTCACATGCATAAAGTTATGATGCTGTGTTTATCAGGTTCCTATCGTTTTGTATGTATTTCTGGCAAACTTCTTTTTTTTTATTTATTTGACAGAGAGAGAGCGAGAGAGCACAAGTAGGCAGAGCTGCAGACAGAGGGAGAGGGAGAAGCAGGCTCCCCGCTGAGCAGAGAGCCCAACGTGGGACTTGATCCCAGGACCCTGGGATCATGACCTGAGCCGAAGGCAGATGCTTAACCAACTGAGCCACCCAGGAGCCCTCTGGCAAACTTTTAAAATGTTGTGTCCCAACCTCATTTTCCCAGGAGCCCTATAGTTTTTATTTCTCAAATATGCAGAGCATGGTGATTTTCAAGAAACATGTATGTCTTATTATAGCCAAACTGACTGTCCCTTGTGCTTATGGCATATCTTCATCTGTGAAATTAAAAAAAAAACAAAAACAAACTTTAGAGACATCTTCTTTAAAGAAGAGTGAAAAACTATTTCCATTGTATACAGAGAATCTGAAGAAGTCAATGACTATATTTGGGCTACTCAAGAGTTGGGAGGGAATGGGGCGCCTGGGTGGCTCAGTCAGTTAAGCATCTGACTTGGGCTTAGATCATGATCCCAGGGTCCTGGGATCGAACCCCGCGTTGGGCTCCCTGCTCACTGGGGAGTCTGTTTCTCCCTCTCCCTCTGACCCTCCTCCCCACTTGTGCTCTCTCTCTGTCTCAAATAAATAAATAAAATCTTAAAAAAAAAAGTCAGGAGGGAAGCCAGAAAAAAAAAGAATAAAAAAGAATCCAGATTTCCCAACTCTTTCCCCCACCCCCAGAGTCCAAAAAACCTGAATGTGCTTTGTACTTAGTAGGCGTAGGTACATTTGATAAATACATCTTTCTTTGAGCAATAAAAGTTTTTGATAAATAATCCTGTGGAATTTGAGGTCTGAGAAAAATGGCAGAATCAAAATAGGGTGGTCAAAATAGGGTGGGTTATTTCTATTACTGCTTATCTTATTTGATTTCTCAAAAAGGGATATCCTTTAATTTACTGAAATTTAGAGTAGAACAGCACTTTGTGGCCCCTGAAACTTTGGTGTAACCCTATTATTTAAACTCATATTGGCAGTTACAGATTAATATTGGCCAAAGCATTCAAATTACACAAAATTGCGTTTTATGTAGCCAAGTATAAGTGACTTCCAAATGTGTTGGATTTATGTCCAAGTTTAGACCATAGCCAATTTGTAGAATGCCTGACACTAAACTTCCTTGATTAAATCTCCCAGTCTCACTATTTTCCAATGATGGTTTCTAAATTACTTTATTCATGTAGCTCAAAAAAGCGATGATGACCATGTTTTGGGGGGCAAGGACAAGGTATAAATGGGTTGTTGTTGTTTTGGGGGGGCTAAAGTCAGAACATCATTTCCAAGATTTATTAAAATATATATATACACAAAGCCAGGAAGTAAACTCAAGCACCTGTAACAACTGAGGCAAGTGGACAGGGCTTGCTATTTTGCTGTCTATGTTTGTTAAAAGCCAAGTCTGAGTGATGGCAATATAAAGGCCTTCCAACTCTTAACCTAGTACCCTCAAGTACTAGTCTCTAGAAGACTCTAGAAGACTCTGTTTCTTCCCTATTAGGGAAGAATTCCATTTGGTCACAGGGTCAGCACAGCCATTAACTGAAAGACGAAGACATACTAAAACCCATTCTTCTGGAAAGCTCTTTCTCTGGCATATTACCTGTTCCGCATTGCCACTGAAGACCCCATCGAGGATAAAGTATGTCCAGAACAGTGGCCATTCACACTCAATGTTTTCAAATAACTTCAGCTCAGATGGTTCATAATATAGGCGACTGGGATCCTGGTAAAAACACAAAAAAGTCTATCTTATCACTGCAAAGTCGGCCATACGTCTTTTGTTCGGAGGTCTTCACAATACAGCCTTTCACTTCTGATAGTGTGTTTTGGAGAAGGCAGGGCATTACATACTCCCCCTCCCTCAGCGAGTACTTTGTGATGTGACTTGTAACTAGTAGAACTGGGATAAGAATGATACCATAGGCAGGTATATGAAGAAGTGAGATTCATTTACAATAAACATGAGTGTGATCTTATATGTTAAGTTTGAGGTAGCAGCAGAACATACAAACAGAAATGTTTACAAGGACAGCAAGGGATGAGGGTTTGGGAATCATTCTTGTAGAGGTGACACTTGAAGCACAAGTTACAGATGTAGCACCTACATACAGTGAACAAAGGACCCAAGAACAGAATCTTGGTAAACCCTCATAGTTCGGTGAGGAAAGAACAAAAAGAGAATTAGGATAGTGTAGTGTTGTATAAAGTAAATGGGAAAAGAATTTCAAAATGGAGAGGTAGGGAACAGTAATGTACGACAGAGAAGTCAAGTATAATAAGGATGGGGTAAAGGCTATTGGAATGATCACTTGGGAGATTCTGATGATATTTCAGAGTGTAATTTTAATAGATTGGTAGAGCTAGAAATCAACAGGGCTAAAGAATAAAGTGGAAGAAGGGAAGTAGACCAGAAGAGTTTGAGCTCGATGATTAAAAAAAGCCCTAAACAACGTTTACATTGCCAGTGAAGTGCTCCTTCTTGACCATTCATTCCCTTTAATAATACTTAATTTTCTCCATTGATAATTCCGTGGAGAACTTTTGACAAGTGGAACAGAAGGATGTTAACTTTTCAAGATCAGGTTCTGTTTAGAACTAACCAACTGCAAGAGATGGAAGAGGGCCAGGAAGACCTAACAAAGGAAAGCTTTTCCCCTTTGTAATTATGAAATATTGGGGAGGGAGATACTTTGAGACTATTCAAATATTCTGTTTCTGCTTAAACTCTCATCCACTGATTTAAGGATCTATCAGTAGCTCTTTCCTGAAACCAACCAGCTGCAAGAAGTGGAAGAATTGCACCTTCCTCTATTTTATTTAATCCATAAAGGCTCACAAACAGAACTTGGCAACTAAGCCCAACGAAGGTAGCAAACATGAGTTATTGTTATCCTATTGAGTGATTATTTTAAGTACCACCAGTGAGTTAAGTATTTTCTCTTTTGAGTATTTTTTTTATTATGTTCAGTTAGCCAACATATAATACATCAAGTATTTTCTCTGAATGAGACCGCGGACAGTAGTGACTATTCTACCGTGGACTCATTTTGGGGAAAAGAAATCTACCTCTTTAGGAGTTTTATATCCATCTCGTAGAAAGCGACAGCAACCATAACGCCCCTGGGAATGCAGAGAAAAAAAATCAGAAGCATGTACATTGGTACAGTCATATAATGCATCAGAAATACATCCTTTGCAACAGCTACACGTGCCGACCTATCACCAACACAGATACAGGATTTAAAAAATAATAAAATGTAATTTCTTTAAAAAAACCTCTGATATCAGCCCAGCAGCAGAAACTGATTTCAGCAATCAATGTGAGTTCAAGTGAGGGCTAAGTTACAGGCTTTTTCCTAAAGCAGAGTTTCTAATATTATCCTCTCCATCACTTTCCACCATAGGGTAAGTCTGTAACAGCCCAATTACTAATCTATGTGGTCCTGTTCACAGAGCTCATAAGAGAGCAACAGGCTTTTTTTTTTTTAAAAAAGACAACATATTTTTTGTTAAATTTTGAGATAATTTGAGACCTACAGAAGAGTTGCAAAAATAGTACAGAGTCCCCATTACCCTTCATCCACTGTTCCTTTATATTAACATCTTACATAACTGTAGAACATTTATCAAAACTAAAAAATTAATCTTGGTACAACACTATTAACCAAAGTACAAAACTTCTTTGGATTTCTCCAGTTTTTCCACTAATGGCTTTTTTCCCCTTCCAAAACCCATTTCAGGATCCTACTGCATTCAGTTGTCACGTCTCTTTAGTCTCTTCCAATCTGTGACAGTTCCTCAGTCTTTCCTTGTTTCTCATCACTTTGACGCTTTTGAAGAGATCATCCGTTATTCTGTAGAATGTCCCTCAATTTGGTTTTGTCTGATGTTTTCTCATGATTAGACTGAGATAATGCATTGTTTGCACAGATACCACACTGGTCAATATGTTCTATTACTGGGGGTGTTAACCCTGATCATTTGGTTAAATCACTGACTTGAAGCCCCCAACGACATTAATTTCTCCTTAAAGTCAAAGCCTTAAAGAAAAGAAGGGCACGTATGGACATACCTGAAGCTTGGTGATGATTTCTTGCTTTGTGAGCTCTACCAACTGGCCATCCTCTACTGCAAAGGCTGGGAAGGAAATAACTGAAAGCAGACTAGCATCTACCTCTTTGGATGTGGAAGCGCGGGGGAGTATCGAATTAAGGATAGACTAAAAAGGAAGAAAGGAAGTCAGAAGTGGCACATTAGTAAATAACTTGGGATTATAAAACTAACAGCTTTAGTTTCAAATGATCTATGTGGAAAAGGATCATTCGGGAGAAAATCTAAACATTATACCATAATAATGATTCAATGATAATCAACACTGAATTCCATAATAATTCAGTAATAATTTCTAAGTGAGAGCTTAGAAAACTAGCTATTTCTGTACATCATCTCTTGTCTTAATACTGCTCTCAAGGTTTCCCAATCCTGAATCTTAAAGAGCTGCTAATGGATAAAGAATAAACATCATCTGTCCACAATCCCCTTGTGCCATTAGCAACCACTGAAGCATAAAGATAGAGAAAATGCAGCTGCTGAGAAAGCAGGATGTGGAAAGCTCAGCTCCTACACTGCTGACATTTATTTTTTCTAAGGAAAATTTCACATTTTTGAAATGAGAAGATGAGTTTATATTCACCATAGTTATCTAATCAGGGTTTGAAGATGGGGAGAAAGTCATCTTGCCAATGAGAAGAACCTTACTCTTTCAATACAGAGAGTAACCCTAAACAAAAGTGAAGATACATATTTACCACTTAAACAGTCTAATCTCCAAACATCTAAGCCTAGAGCCAACTGGGGACAAGAGAATGTTTCAAAGCCACTATCAAGAAGAACATTCAAATCAGTCACCTCTTGTTCTCTTGGTATATTTAGAAAAGGAGCAGAGCCCATAGACCCTTGATAGGACAACAGTGGAGAATTCCACATACTATGATGAGATTCCTTTATAAACATGGCTGAGAGAACAGGACTATGACGTATGTTATAGTTCATGCTATATCAGCCTTATCTCAGCATGGGAAGCTTGGATAATACATTTTTGGCACATGGTAATAAATCAGATTATGTACTCTCGGGTCTCTTTATTCTCAAGGCCATGCTCATCCCGAGTCTGGGTAAGAATAACATTTTCTATAATGTCCTTCATTATTCTCTTACCTGGCAGTGTTGTACTTCATCAGCCAGGACATGGATAACTGATTGGGGCCCACCTTTCACACCAAACAGGTCCAGTTCATCCAATGCTTCCAGGGCTGCCTATGAAGAGCAAAGAAAGAAAGGACATTTTCCGCAAAAGATACAGATTTCTCCTCCCTGTACTCCAGTATCATATCAGTGCATATGAAGTCATTTTTAATTTGTTCAGCAGAACAGCAAAAACAATGTAGCATTCTTTATTCCCAAGGGCCTCTGAGTTTTTCTTTGCCTCCCATATTATCCCAGAGACAGTTAAGATGGAGGTTGCAAGCAACCATTCATGATAAAAACCTCAACAAATTCAATATAGAAGGAACATACCTGAACATAATAAAGGCCATATACAACAAACCCACAGCTAACACTTGTTGTGATGAGCACCGGGTATTGTTAAGTGTTGGATCACTATACTGCACACCTGAAACTAACTGGAATTCAAATAAAAACAAAAACAATAGTGAAAAATTGAAAGCTTTTCCTCTAAGATCAGGAGCAAGACAAGGATGCCCACTCACACCACTCTTATTCAACATAATATTTGAAGTCCTAGCTAGAGCAATTAGGCAAGACAAAGAAATAAAAGGCATCTAAATCAGAAAGGAAGAAGTAAAACTGTCATTATCTGAAGATGATATATTATATACAGAAAATTGTAAACTCAAACAAAAAGTGTTGGAACAATCAATAAATTCAGTAAAGTTGCAGGATATAAAATCAACATAGAGAAATCAGTGGCACTTCTGTACATTAACAACAAAAAAAACATCTGGAGAAAGAAATAAAGAAAACTATCCCACTCACAATAGCATCAAAAGTAATAAAATACTTAAGGGTAAATTTACCTAGGGAGGTAAAAGAGCTATACAATGAAAACTACAATACTTGGGGCGCCTGGGTGGCTCAGTTGGTTAAGCGACTGCCTTCGGCTCAGGTCATGATCCTGGAGTCCCGGGATCGAGTCCCACATCGGGCTCCCTGCTCGGCGGGGAGTCTGCTTCTCCCTCTGACCCTACCCCCCCCATGTGCTCTCTCTCTCTCTCAAATAAATAAATAAAATCTTTAAAAAAAGAAAGAAAACTACAATACTTGGAGGAAAGAAATTAAAGACAAACAAACGGAAAGATATCCCATGTTCAACGGATTGGAAGAAATAATATTGTTAAAATGTCCATACTACCAAAAGCCATCTATAGATCCAATGCAATTGTTATCAAAATTCCAATGGCATTTTTTCACAGAAATAGATAAACAATCCTAAAATGTGTCTGGAACCACAAAAGACACCAAATAGCCAAAGCAATCACAAGAAAGAAGAACAAAGCTGGAGGCATCACACTCTTGATTTTAAACTATACTACAAAGCTATAGTAATTAAAATAGTATGGTATGGGCATAAAAATAGACACACACACCAATGGAACAGAATAAAAGTCAGAAATAAACCCCTGCATTTACAGTCAATGAATATTTGACAAGGGAGCCAGGAAGAGTCAATGCAGAAAGAAGAGTCTCTTCAACAAATGGTGTTGGGAAAACTAGATAACTACATGCAGAAGAATGAAATCAGACCCCTAACTTACACCCTCACAAAAATTAACTTGACATGGACTAAACATAAGACCTGATACTGTAAAACTTCTAGAAGAAAACATAAGAAAAAAGCTCCTTTATACTAGTCTTGGCAATGATTTTTTTAGATATGACACCAAAAACACAAGCAATAAAAGCAAGAATCAGTAAGTGGGACTACATCAAACTAAAAAGTCCCTGCACAGAAAAAGAAACAATCAAAAAAATGAAAAGGGAACCTATGGAATAGGAGAAAATATTTTCAAACTATAGAGGTTAATATCCAAAATATGTAAATAACTCATACAGCTCAATAATAAAAAAACAATTCAATTAAGAAATGAACAGAGGAATTGAATAGATATTTTTTCCAGAGAAGACATATGAATGGCCAACAGGTACATCAAAAGATGTTCAAAGTCACTAATCAACAGGGAAATGCAAATCAAAACCACAATATGATTTCACTTCACACCTGCAAGAATGGCTATTATCAAAAAGACAAGTGGCTTGGGAATGTGGAGAAAAGGGAACCCTCATACACTGTTGGATGGAATGCAAATTGGTTCTGCCACTATGGAAAACACTATGGGGGTTCCTCAAAAACTTAAAATAGGACTATCATATGATCGATCCAGAAATTCCACTCTTGGGCACATATACAAAGGAAATAAAAAGAGGATATCAAAGAGATATATGTACTCCCTGTTGATTGCAGCATTATTCACAATAGCCAATATACAGAAACACTGTCAACAGATGAATGAGTAAAGAAGACATGATACACACACACTCAATGGAATATCATTCAGCTGTGAGAAAGAAGGAAATCTTGTCCTTTGTGACCACAGAGATGGCCTTGAGGTCATTATGCTAAGTGAGATAAGTTAGAGAAAGACAAATACTGTACTACATCACTTATATGTGGAACTTAAAAAGTCAAATTCAAAAAACAGAGTAAAATGGTGGTTACCAAGGGCTGGGGGATGGAGGAATTGAGGAGATGTTGTTTAGAGGTACAAACTTGCGGGGCTCCTGGGTGGCTCAGTTGGTTAAGCGCCCAACTCTTGGTTTCAGCTCAGGTCATGATCTCACAGGTGGTGGGATTGAGCCCCACACAGGGCTCCATGCTCAGCAGGGAGTCTGCTTGAAGACTCTCTCCCTCTGCCCCTCCCCCCATTTGCTCCCTTTCTGTCTCTCTCTCTCTAAAATAAATAATTCTTTTTTAAAAAAGGTACAAACTTGCAACCAGTAGATAAATAAGTTCTGGAGACCTAATGCATAGCACAGTGATTATGGACAATAATAGTGTATTATAAACTTCTAAGTTGCTAAGAGACCAAATATTAATCATTCCTATCACAGAAAAAATGATAATTGTATGATGTGATAGAGGTGTTACCTAACACTTTGGGAAAGTTGCACATATTGCACATATTGCAATAAAAATGTGTCAAATCAACATGTTGTACACTCCAAACTTACACAACGTTATATGCCTATTACACCTCAATAAAAATACATTTTGTTTTTAAAATTTTGTTTTATTATTTTTATCTCCAGCGGCTGAATTCTTCAAAAATGCATTTAAAAAAAGATACAGCATAGATAAAGTTATAGCATTATCAAGCCAAGCATCACACTTCAAAAGTAATTTGAACAAGGCACAGATGAATTTATAGTAAACCACTCTTCTGGTAGGGTAGCTGCAAGTATGATACCAGCACATAAGAAATGCTAGAAGTTGTGTGGATGTAAGATATTAAAATGCAACAGCCATTAGGTATTGGCACATCACTGAGTTTCCATAGGGAAGTGAATACCCTAAAAAGATACTATGATTGACTTAAAGATGAAAGTTACTAGTCACCAAGGCAGAAGATTTTTTTTTAAAAAATAGAATTTGCTTATTAATTTCTTGCTTTTCTGATTATAAAATATAACATACTTGTTATAGAATATTTGAAAACATAAAAAAGTATAGAGAGGGCAAAAAAATCACCCAAAATAATGCTAATATTTTTGGCATGTTTCCTATTAGTTTTCTTTATGTAAATCTGTCTATAGTTGAGATCATTTCATATGAAATTTGGTTAGGATACTAGAGCATAAATGTTTCTCCATATTATGAAAATTCTTTATTTCAACATAATATTCTCTCTTATTTATTTAACCATTTAACAATTGTTGGAAATTTAGGTTGCTCTTACTGTTTTGGTTTTTTAGATTCCACATATAAGTAAAATCATATGCTATTTGTCTTTCTCTGTCTGGTTTATTTCACTTAGTATAATACCCTCTACATCCATCCATGTTGTCATGAATGGCAAGATTTCATTCTTTTCTATGGTTGGGTAATGCATTGTGTGTATCACATCTTCTTTATCCATTTATCTATAGATGGATACTTAGGTTGCTTCCATATCCTGGCTATTGTAAATAATGCTGCAATAAACACAGGGGTGTATTATCCTTTTAAAATCAATCTGTGTCTTTTGGAGGGGAAACTTCAATTAGGTCATGCATATTTATTATTATAATGGATATGTTTGATCCTATTCCTGCTATTCTATTTTATGGCTTCTTGCTGTCTCCAAAAATAAGAGCTGAAATTAAGGCAGTAGCAATGGGAAGGAAAAGATGGAGTCAAGTGGAAAGGTAGTTAATGATGATGATGATGATATGTGGGATTCAGGAGAGTGAGGGGGGTTCAGGATTGACAGATGGTTCTCTGACAATCAAGTTTTGTCAACTGGTGTATGGAAGGGGAAGGCCTCTTTTTATTTTTGTAATGGTAGAGAAGATGAGTTTAGTTGAAGATATGTTCTCTGGGGTGCCTGGGTGGCTCAGTTGGTTAAGTGTCTGACTCTTGATTTCAGCTCAGGTCATGATCTTGGGGTCGTGGGATCGAGCCCTGTGTTGGGCTCTGTACTCAGTGGGTAGACTGTTGGAGATTCTCTCTCCTTCTCCCTCTGCCCGGCCCTCATGTGCACACTTACTCACTTCTCTCTCTCAAATAAACAAATAAATCTTAAAAAAAATATGTTCTCTGAGGTCTCTGTGGTATATGTAAGTAGAGATATGCTACAAAAGCAGTTGGATATACAAATCTGGAGCTAATGAAATAAATCTTTACCTACATGTCCATAGTTCTATGGGAGAATCCAAATTTTGCCTGTGTCTTAAAAGAACAATTTGATGATGATCCAAATTCATGTTAAGCCTTTATCTATGATAAAGGTGTATTTCCTTACCCCACACTTGGTACAAACAAAGCAAGGAAAATTACCTTTGCCATGCCAACTGAACTGGCATTCAATTCTGAGATCCCTTGGTTGGTCTTGTCTCCACGTTCCCATATCCCAAAGTCCTAGCATAAAATAACCAGCATACCATTAGCAAGTCATTACTACTAAATGCTTACTAGACACACAACTCTTGAATAAAAGGCACACATAGTAGCTAATTTGCCATAAATATGTGTACCCACAACACCTATTAAGGAGATGCCAATGAGTTGGGTTGCCCCTGTAGCTCTTTTCTTAGTAGCTTCAAATTCTCCTGGGACCTCTAAGAAGTTGGAAGACTCCTCAACAGCTGATCAGGCCTAAGAAGTATAACTCAGTCCATGTAGAGAAATGCTTCTCAAAATTTTTTATCAAGGCAGATACTCAGGGGGTCTAGAAGATGGAGCCCAAACAGCACCCCAGTGTTTTATCTTAAATATCTAATTTTACTCTCTGTTGGCATTGACAATGTACCATACACTAACCTATGCACTTTATACTACTATCTTCCTTAATCCTTTTATCTTATAGATGATGAAACTAAGGTGCAGAGAGAGGCTAAGTGACTCACCCAAGGCCACACAGCTAATACGTGACAGAGCTAGGATTAGAGTCCAAGTACTCTCAGTCCAAAGTGTAAATTCTTAAACATAGCTGTATATGGCCCCTCGATAATATAATTATAACATTTAAAATTACTTTTTAAGAACTGTTTTATTTGAAATAACTTTAAACTTACAGAGAAGTTACAGAAATACTACAGTGAGTTCCCATATACCTTTCACTCAACTTCCCCTAATGTTAACATCTGACATAACACTTGTCAAAGCTAAGAAATTAACATTAGTACAATACTAGTAACCAGATTATGGACTTTGTTAGGATTTCACCAGTTTTTCCACTAATAACCATTTTATGTTCCAGGATCCAATCCAGAATACCATGCTGCATTTGTCATACCTCCTTAGTCTCTTCCAATCAGTTAAAGTTTCTCAAGTCTTGCCTCTCATGACCTTGACACTTTCAGAAGATCAGTGGTCGGGTATTTTATAGATTTCTCTCAATTTAGGTTCACTTGATGTCTTCCCTTCATTAGATTAAGATTGTGCATTTTTTGGTTAAGATTTCTACAGATGTTATGCTGTGTCCTTCTCACTGCATCATATCAGGGAGTACACGATGTTGATATGTCCTATTATGGTGATGTTAACCTTCATCACGCGGTTAAGGTGGTGTCTGCAGGGTTTCTCCAAACTACTGTTACCATTTTCCCCTGTATGATTAATAACTATCTCGAGAAAGATACTTTACAACTGTGCAAGTATCATGTATCTCCTCAAACATCTACCCACCAATGTAGCATCCATTGGTGAATCTTGTCTGCAACAATTATTACAGTGGTGCTTCAATGGTGATTTTTTTAGTTCCTTCATTACCTCTACAGTCATTAATTGCAATTCTTCTCTAAGGAAGAGCTGTCCTTTCTCCCTCATTCATTTATTCATTTGTTTATATCAGTATGAACTTATAGATATTTAGGTTATTCTCTGGGTTATAATAAAATATTATCATTACTTGTTTTGTTGCTCAAATTGTTCCAGCTTTAGCCATTGGGAGTTCTTCCAGGTTGGCTCCTGCACCCTTTGGACATGCCCCATTCTTTCTGAACACGTCCTCACTTTCTGTCATTACAAGATACTGTAGTTTCATCTTGTATTTTCCTCCCCCCAGCCCTAGAAACAATCACTTCTACAAGGAAACCTGTTTTTTTTTTTTTTTATTACGAATAGTTACAATCCAAGACCTAGGCACTGGCTCATTGTCACTGTGGTGTCATTGCTTCTAGGCCCTCTCATTGAACAGAATTTGGAAATATCCATGTGTACACATGCATGTGTGCATGCACACACACACACACACACACACACCCCTATGTTTGTTTCTATATTTACCTTAAATTACTTTTTATATCAAATCTCTGAGTTAAAGTGAAGCTTCTGGAAGGTAAGCCATATTTATCCCATGGCTAGCGTCACTTGTTCCCAAACCCAGCTCTACCCTAATTTGTGCAGCAAGATTAGAGTATGAGAAGGCACATATCATTAATTCTGCTGCTGCAACCCCTGGCTGCAATGGAGAGGCCAGAGAACCCTGACCTGTACCCTGGACCTTAGCAGGCCTATGGTATCAGAAGGCAAAGTGATCAGTCAACAAATAAGGTCTGCTTGCATCAAATATGTCTATGTTAAACTTATCCTTTTGGCAAATATGGAGTGACAGGCCACAGGTTTACGCTCCCATCTAAACCAGCGAAAAACTAAACAAATTAAACAATTAGATGACTAAAAAACTGGACTATTTATGACACAGCCATTTTCAATACAGTGAACATTATGCAATGAAGAACAGCGATCCCTGAGAGAGGAGATGTTAAATATATTATGATTTAATTTAAACCTACCTCATATGGTAGTTGTGAGAAAAAGGAACTATTTTTTGTATAGTAAGCACTGAATGTCTACAGATAATATTAAACATATGACTAAATTTTATGTCTAAGTAGCTAACTTACCCATTATACTCCCTAGCCATCTTGCTCCAGTTCAAGACCACAGACCACTAAAATAAGACAATTTAGCTCCAGATTCCCAAATACATGATATGAGATATTACAGAATTTGACAGGAGTGGAAGCATAGCATCTTGACCCTTTTGTCTCTGTAACTCCTTTGGAGAGAAGGCAAACAGAGGATGATGGAGCTTAGTAAAGAAAGAGGCTTAAGGCAATTTCTGCCAGAAGTTTTATAGATTGGTTCACTATGAGGGGCAGCATTAGGAGAAGGAGGGGGTTGTTCAGTATTTTTAGAAACATGTTTAAAATCAATTCCCAAATGAGTACTTACAGCAGTTTTATATGCAGCTTCAATGTAAAACACAAGGTTCTGTATGAAATTGACTTCATCTAGACTGTGGATGATATGAAGTCCTGAGGAAAAAGAGAATAAGGATATAGAGCTGGTCAATTATCACTATAGGCTTTATAGGCAGCCACAGTAACTAACTGATCCCATTACTCCTAAGTAATGGAACAATGAGAGGCACTTTGATTCCTAAACCATAAAAGCAAAACCAGAAATCAGACCTAGGCTAGTCTTCGACTATGTGATATACCAGCATATTATAACATGGAAGAATTTTAACTGTTATTTGTAGGTTTCCATAGAAAGTCTCAGACTCCTAATTCTATAGGTAATTAATTTATAATGTACCTTAAGGTATCTGGAAGAAGAAAGACAACTATTTCAAAAAAGAGTTGGAGAGAGTCTAAATACTAAGCAAGAAGTAGAAAAAGATTATGGTTTTAAGGAAAACTTAAAACTATACTTTTTGGAGTAAAAAAATGATAATTATTCTAAATGTAAACTACACAAAGATAGTTATAGCTGACAAATGGAGTGTTTTGCATGAATTATCCATTTAATTTTTACATCAACCCTAAGAAGTGGGTACCTCTATTTTCTCCATGAGGCTTAGAGAGATTAAATATTTGCCTAAGACCATTTAGCTATAAATAGTGAAACCAGACCCAACTATCATCTTCTGTTTCACTTCAGAGACTGAGTTCCTAACCAAGATGCTATACTGCTTCCCAGTATGTATAGTACGATACATTTTTCTCTAAAAATTAACTCCTCTCAAACAAAACAAAACAAACTCCTCTCCCCTCTCCTGTCCGCCCAACCCCTATAAAGAAATACCAACAGGCATACAGTGACTCTTTCTCCCACCCCGAATCACATCATTCCCCACCTGCCAAAACTCCTCTCTGAAAGAAGTCAGAATGGCTAAAATTAACAACACAAGACACAACAGGTTTAACTATACGTTTGTAAAAACTCACTGAAATGTACATTTTACATGCCTGGATTTTTTTTTTTTTAAAGATTTTTTTATTTATTTGACAGAGAGAGGGAACACAAGCAGGGGGAGTGGGAGAGGGAGAAGCAGGCTTCCCGCGGAGCAGGGAGCCCGATGTGGGGCTCGATGCGGGGCTCGATGCGGGGCTTGATGCGGGGCTCCATCCCAGGACGTTGGGATCATGACCTGAGCCAAAGGCAGACGCTTAATGACTGAGCCACCCAGGCGCCCCTTAAATGGCTGGATTTTATTGTAGGTAAATTATACTTTGATAGACTTGAAAAAAGAGAGCCATTTATATGTTGAAAGATTGGGAGTGCTGCATGAGGTATTCCAAATGGTAAGATTTCCAGGGAGGCAGGAGGAGTCTGCATTTTCACATTTTGCAAAGTTTGTGTGATATGTGAAGTGATCCCCTCACATTATTTAATATTAAAACGATTATTTAATTATGTAATATTTAATAAAAATTCTGTTACATAAAAAAAAGAAACCAGTCTTACCAGTTTCTTCTGTATCCTTTCAGAGCAATATTATGCATATATAAAAAGTATCAAAGAGTAGTATACTATATTGTACCTTGCTTTTTTCATATATACCTCGGAGACAATTTTAAAGAGATCTGCCTTATTTTTTTTAATGGCAACATGGCATTTCACTAAATGGCTAATTATATAACCATTTCCCTATTGAAAACATTTAGGTTGTACCTAATGCTTCATCACTATAACCAAGGCTGTAATGAATACATATATATATATGAATACATATATGATATATATGATACACATGAATATATATATGATATATACATGAATGATATATTTATATATCTTTGTGCACATGTACCAGTATACCAAGGTAAATTCTTAGAAGAATTGCCGAGTCACAGATTTATGCATATTATTTTTTCCCAACATTGTATTGTGAACATTTTCAAACAAACAGAAAAAATGACAGAATTTTACAGTGGACATCTGTATGCACATTATTTGGATTCAAGCATTAACATTAACATTGATCCATCCATCAATCCATCTTTTTCGATACATTTCAGAGTAAGTTGCAAATATCAGTACACTTCTCCCTAAATACTTCACCATGTGTACATTAAACATTGATAATCATCACCAAGTTACTCTGCAAAGAAGTTCTACAGTTTACATACCAATCAGCCCTGCCTGCCTGTTCCCTATACCCTTGTCAACACAGGCTTTAATAAAAATCTTTGATCTTTGCCACTGTAATGAAGGAGAAATAAAATCTCTTTGTAGTTTAATTTGTAGTTCTTTTAATTGTGGGTAAGGTTGTGAGTCTTTTCATATGTTTATTGCCATCCACATTTCTTTTCCTATGAACTGTTTGGTTGTGTCCTTTGCCAATTTCCATGGAATTGCTGGTCTTTGAGCTACTGACATGTTGATGAACATTAAGGAAATTATCCTTTTACTCATCATACGTGTTGCAAGTATTTTTCCTAGTTTGTTTGAACTTTGACTTTGTCTACAGTGTATTTTTCTTCTCAGAAACTTTTATTTTTCTTAAGATTTTATTTAAATTCAAGTTAGTTAACACACAGTGTATTATTAGTTTCAGAGGTAGAATTTAGTGATTCATCAGTTGCATATAACATCCAGTGCCAATGCTCATTATATCACGTGCCTTCCTTAATGCCCATCACCCCATTATCCCATCCTCCCACCCAACTCCCCTCCAGCAACCCTCAGTTTGTTCCCTATAGTCTCTTCTGGTTTGCCTCCCTCTCTGTTTTTATCTTACTTTATTCTCAGACTCTTTAATTAAGAAGCTTTATCCCATGAATGTTTCTGGTACTTCTATAATTTCATTTTTAAAAAGATTTATTTATTCATTTTAGAGAGAGAGTGTGAGAGAGTGGGGGGAGGGGTAGAGGGAGAGAATCTTCAAGCAGACTTTCCACCGAGCGTGGATCCTGATGCGGGGCTCAATCCCACGACCCATGCATGAGATCATGACCTGAGCTGAAACCAAGAGTCAGACTCTTAACTGACTGAGCCACCCAGGCGCCCCTATAATTTCATTTTTTTTTTGCATTTAAATCTTTGATCTATTGACAGATGTTTTAGATCACAGAACTCTGTAACTTTTGAGCCAAAAAGGACTGTATGATCCATATCATCAGACAGCAAATTCCTCCTGATGCATGGCTCTGTCAAAACCAGCAACCACAGCACAGGGCAGTAGCATTAGCAATGTGTCTTTCTTGTAGCAGTAATGATCTTAACCTCTTGGATAGAGAGAGAAAAAAGAGACGAGAGTTATAATATTGGACATCAGCTTCACAGCTTTATCTCGTCCCCTTTGTGTGCCAGAGTGCTTGTGCAGAGACTGAGAGAAGGCAGACGGTGTGAAACTGGTTTTGTCCATCTCTCAGACTTGTGTCACAGCTAACAAATCACTATACAATTTAAATGCCACATTTCTATTATTTGTCCCTTTGCTCATGATACTGTTTAAACGGCCTTCTCCACATCTTGAAATCCAAACTGTTCATTCAAGGCCCAGCTCAAATTCTATCTCCTCTGTGATGCTGTCATTGATTCTTCTCTTCTGTGTTTCATAGAATTTTATTTTCCTTGCTCTAATGAACTTTTTACTTTGTACTATAAATAAATCTGTACCTAAATTTGAAGGAAAGAACCATTTCTTATTTATATTTATAGTCCCCAAAAGTATCTCACATAGTATTGTGAATGGTATTAAATAATACTGAACAATAAATGTTCAATAATGATTTACTGAATGATCTTAAACAACCCTGTTAACCACAGGAGAGGGACCTGTCTCTTGAGACACCACCATACATTCAGGACCTCTGCATCCTGTCCCCTCTGTGGAGCCAAGACACTGCTTGTAGAACAGAGGATACATAGAGATGAAATGAGGTAGGGCTGGGTAAGGCCAAAGATGGCAGTACTATTTAAGGCATACTAAAACATGTAGAGCTCCAGAAATGAGGCCAACTCAGTGGTCTATTCCACTTACATTGACTTGTACTCATCTATCAATAAGCCTCTCTCCTTCATTTTTAACAACGTGATTGAGATATAATTCACCCATTTCAAGTATATAATTCAATGGTTTTTAGGGCATGCAGTGTTCTGCAACCATGGCCACAATCAATTTTAGAACATTTTCATCACCCCTAAAAGAAACACTATACCCATTTACCAGTCATTCCCCATTTCCTTTCATGACTTGATCTCCCTCTTCCTCCACCTAAGCAATCGCTAATCTACTTTATGTCACCACAGATTTGCCTTACCGTACGTTCATATATGTGCAATCATATAATATGTGGCCTTTCATGTGGAGTTCTTTCACTTATAATGTTTTCAAGGTTCATACGTGTTGCAGAACGTATCAGTGCTTCCATTCTTTTTGTTGCTAAAAAAATATTTCACTGTGTGAATAAATCATATTTATCCAATTATCAGTTGATGGACATTTAGGTTGTTTCCACTCTTTGACTCTTATAAATAATACTGCTATGAACATTCATGTATATATACAAGCTTTTGAGTGAACACTGCTTCATTTCTTTTGCGCATATACCGAGGAGTGAAATCGCTAGATCATATGGTAATTCTGCTTAACCTTTTGAGAACTGCCAGACTATTTTCTAAAGTGGCTGCACCATTTTACATTCCCACCAACAGTGTATGATGGTTCCAATTTCTCCATATCCTCAGGAACATTTGTTGTTTTCTGTCTTTTTGATTTTAGCCATCCTAGGGGGTGTGTCGTGGTATCTCATTATTGGGATCTGCATTTGCCTAGTGACTAATAATGTTCAGCATTTTTTTCGTGTACTTATTGGCCATTTAAATATCTTCTTTGGAGAAATGTCAACTCAGATTCTTTGCCTATTTAAAATTAGGTTATCTTTTTATTATTGATTTGCGGAGTACTTTATATATTATAGATATAAGTCCCTTATCAGATATATGATTTATCAATACTTTCTATCATATTCTGGATTGTTTGTAACTTTCTTTAGAGATCCTTTGAAACACAAATGTTATTAAT